TTGTTCATAAAGTGAAGGAGCTAAATAGCTGACCAAATTAAGCTGATTCTTTCAGGAAAAAGCTGATTTCATTTTCATTTTTTTAAACTGAAAATAAATGTAATTAAATGCATGTCTGTGCAACCTCACTTCTGAATGTAAAAGACATGCATGGGGAATGAGAAAGAATGAGAGAAAAGACAAAGAGCCTGGCTGGCTGTGGCTGTCTTAGCTTTGCTTTCCCTCTCCTGAAATCTCCACTGCCCCTGTCCCTCTGCTTGGTGGCCCAGAGGTATTTACCCCTGGACACGGAAAGCTTAGGTCCCAGGGGGGCTTTGCCTTCACTTTCTTTTGTAAAATGGTTGGGAGAGGGGATGTGGGAAAGGGAAACGTAGGCCACTGCAGCATTCTCTTGAGGAGAGCAGTGTTATGAGAGGACATGTGGGAGTTGAGGATTTGACCTTGATTCTGTTAAAGCCAACCCCTGGAAGGTCTTCATATACCTCAGGGTTATGAGTACCCCAGTTTGAAAACCACTGCCTTAGACAACCTTACTTATTCCAGTTGAATCTGGGACATGCCCAGGCAAGTCTGATTGTAGTTCTTAGCTGAGGCCTTCAAGTTCGTTGAGTATTTACAACATTCACCGGTTCCCATAGATCATTAAATATGGAATATCCGATTTCAAATCAAAAGTTTAGCTTTATTATATCTCAATTAATCGAAGTATGCACCTAAACTATTGAGATAGTTTTGCCATCTCAATGGTAGCTTGCTTATGCCAGCAGCAAAGAAGCCTGGAGAGCGAGTGGCAGTGAAATTGTGAAAGGCGTTTTCCACAGCTTGTTGAGAATTGAATATTTTTCCTTGCAAGAAGTGGTCTAAAGCCTGGAAGAAGTGGTAGTCATTTGGTGCAAGGTGTGATGAATATGGTGGATAACACACAGTTTCCAAGTCCAGATTCTGTAGTTTGAGCAGCATTGTTTGTGTGGCATGTGGTCAAGCGTTGTCTTGCAAGAGGATTGGCCTGACTTTATTGACCAAGCTTGGCTGCTTAATCACAGCATCCTCATCATTTCATCCAATTGGTTGCAGTGGACACCCACTGTAATCGATTGACCAGGTTTCATGAAGCTGTAGTGGATAATATCAGCGCTGGACCACCAAACAGACCCCATTAGCTTTCTTTGATGAATATTCGGTTTTACACTGTTTCAGCACTTCTTCTTTATCCAACCATTGTGCTGAACCGTTGCAGTTGTCAGAAAGAATCCATTTTCATCACACGTAACAGTACAGTTTAGAAATGGTTCGCCTTTATGCTGTGACTGCAACGAAAGGCAAACTTTGAGATGATTTCTCTTCCGGTGCTTGTTTAATTCACGCGGTGCCCATCTCTATCCAGCCTCTTTACCTTGCCCATTTGTTTCAAATGATCCAATATTGTTGGAATGATAACGTCAAACTTTGCTGCTGATTCACACCTAGGTTGAGATGGATTTGCTTCCACTCCAGCTTTCAGTTCATTATTATCCACCTTGGTGTCAGGTCGCCCATGTGGCTCATTTTCAAGATTAAAATCACCAGAATGGAATCCTCAAATCATTGATGTACTGTGTTCATTAGCATGTCCTTCCCAAACACTTTGTTGATATTTCAAGCTGTCTGTGCTGCATTCGTTCCACGACAGAACTCACATTAAAAAATAATACAAATTTTTGACTTTTCCATGGTTTCACAAAAATGGCTCTAAAAAAATTTGAAAGACAATCAAGCCAAAAAAGTGTGTTTGAAAGACTGAAGATATTCCTTCTCAATAAAAATAACACAAGAATTGTCAAAGTGAAATGTCAGAGATATCAACTGTCAAACTTAGTTGTTAAGGAAATTGGACATTTCGTACTTAATAATTCGTACTTAATAATTCGTACTTAATAATACCTAATACCAGGCAACTTACCTATATAAGGTCTTCCTGAAGACCTTGGTACAGATAAGCAACTGTGTCATCCAAAGTCATATAGCAGAGGACTCAGGAGACATACTGGGGTACACTTAGTGCCTAAATTGGCTTTTGTTCCTACCACAAAGTCTTTCTTTTTTGCCTAAGACATGGTCAGCAGGACATGTGAATTGAGAGAAGGATATCAAAGGAAACGCCATCCTTTGTAGAACATTTTGTACTTCTGGACACCAACGTAAGGAGAGAAAATGAGCCTTTCCTAGAGCCATATCTGTGCTACTAACAGAGTCTCCCCTAGATCAAACTTTTTCAGGCTCTTCTGAGTCTGACTAGACCCTATCCTGCTAAATCAGTTTAGCTAGAATCTCACTCCTCAATATCTGATCACCCTCAAAGTCTGATCCAAATTCTAATCCTCCACCACCCTCTAGGGTATCTGACATTTCTTCAGCAAGAATCCTGTTAGGTTGGTTTAGCCAGAACTTTCCTTGTGCCTGCTTTCCCACTCTGCTCCCTGGCTATACATTCCCACTTTTCTTACCTTATTTACAGTTGAGCCTGATCTCTCTCCCCTACTACAAAACTCCACTGTGGGTAGCACCCCTTGAATGAACTCTTCCTTACCCTCTTTATAATAAGTGTCATGAATCCTTTTTTTCTTTATTACTCCAGTAGGGGTTTAGATAACTTTGTGAAGCATGTTGATTTACTTGGAGAGACCTGCATAATATTATATCATTTTGATAGGGTAATTCATAAAACATAGACTTGGTAATTCATAAAACAATTTTGTAGTTTTTGTTTATTAATTTGGAACAAAAGACCCAAGAATTCTTAAATAAGTTTTATTTAAAAAAAAGAAAAGATAAATTATCTCCAAATTACTCCTAAGTATTTTGGAAACCATTTCCCTTTTAAAATAGCTGGCTAAGAATCCAAAACAACTTTCTTTTAGAGAATTTCCTTCCCTCTTGCTTTTTTGTTCTCTTACCTGAGATCAGTCATTTTACTTGCTTTTTCTACACAGTCAGAAAGTAATTTTTACTTTGAAATTAAGACACTTATTTTTTTGTCTTTAAAATTTTTTAACTGTATTATTTGCTTTTTAATGATATCTTAGGCTAACTTGATAATCTCTCGTTTTTTTTGGTTAATTAAAAATTATTAGTTTTACTGCCTCTATCCACTGGATAAAACAAAAGAATAGTATCTAATTATACTCTAACTTCCTACTTTTGTTCTACTTTGAACTGTTTATTTTATTTTATTTTTTAGAAACAGGGTCTCACTATGTTGCCCAGGCTGCAGTGTACTGGCCATTCACAGGTGGGGTCACGGTGCATTATAACCGTGAACTCCTTCACTCAAGTGATCCTCCTGCCTCAGCCTCCTGAGTAGATGGATTACAGGTGTGTGCTACTGCACCTGGTTTTATTTTTTACCACTTTTTAAGAATTGAAATATAACTCACATAGGATTAACTCTTTTAAAATGTAGACTTCAATGGCCTGAATACCGACTTTAAGATAGCATTGTCAAAAGACAATATTGCAACAAATTTAGTTAAAGGATCAAATTGGCTTTTATTTGCAGTTCATAAATCAGGTAGCATCTCATCTAAAAATAGAGAGGTGCTATGCTAGGCAAGGCAGAACAACCAGTTTTTATAAGGTAGCTTGAGCAGGAACAAGGAAACAGCATAGTAAAAAAAATTTGGACTCATCGGTTAACATTAGATCACTTCAAGTTATTTTTTTTGGTAAGAGTTAAAACAGGAGATGTCCTTATCATGTTGGCTTAAAAAACTGGCCTGTTTGGGGGGTTTGGCTGTTCTCTCTCTCTCTTCTGATTTCTCTGAAGGTCAGATAAACAACTTAGTTTTAGTTAGGTAGCATGGGACTTCCGCATGAGTGACTCCATTTTGGTTTGGTGTGTTGGGGGCCTCGTGCAGAAGCTCAGTCCAAAACTATGATCTCCCATAAATGTTAACAGCATCCACAGCTTTCTTAAAGCATGGTTTTCTGCAGTATACTTCTTTCAGTCGACATATTGTAGGGGCAGAGGGAAAACTTCCTCTCTGCCTGCTGAAGATTTGCTGAAAATGAACTAATAAGAGGCAGATTCATAGAAGAAAAGAGCATGCAAGATTTATTTAACATGCATAAACACAGAAGCCATACACAAAGTAAAAAACCCAGGTGGTTGAGACTTACATACTGTCTTCACAGGCAGACGTTATTTTGTAAGTGATTGTCTTTGGAAGCTGGATGGGACGGGTTGTGGGAAGGCGAGAGGGCAGAACTGCACAGGGCAAAGGTGATCTTCTTATGCAGACGCAGGCTCCTGGGTATTCTCTCCAAGCTGCCCTCAGAAGAATAAATGAAAAGTCTGTCTGGGCCCAGTGACAACACTTAGTTTCATCTCTTTTCTGATGGTTGAAGTTGATCTTTCCAGGTTATGTGATGAGATTCCTAGGGAGGGGGTGTTAAGACAATTGCATTTCTTTTTTCCACTGGGAATACCTCCTGGTGCTTTGAGAAAGAAGATTAGAGAGACCGAGAGCCCCCGGGGTGATCAGAGAGACCTTGGTTCTGAGGCCTTTCGATTTTCAAAGCACTCAGCATGCCAAAGCACCCTATTTTGGGGAATCATTTTCTATTCCCCAACAATATGAATGGCCTTTTCTATTCTTAAAGCACGGAGCCCAGCACAGTGTCTGGCACTTTCTTGGCTCTTAATAAATATTTACTGAATGAATGAAAGAATTGAAATGGCTGCCATTGGTTACCGAGTTGCCCATGACATGCTTAAAAATAAAAACTTTGAAGACTTTCAGCATTTCCTTTAACTGGCTATGTTGGACTTTTCTTGCTTCTTTTTGTAAATCACACTGGCTAACAGAACAGGGACTAGCATGACTGTCCTCATTAAAGTGACATTTGAATCTGAGTGTTGAAGATGTCATGTGATTAAATGGCAGGTGTCACTCCTGTTTCTTTAATCATGTTCCTATTGCACATCTCTTTATAGGTTTTAAAAAATTCTTTTGCCATTACAGACATTTCTGCTCATGGAACTTCAGCCTGCAAAACCCAGGAAGCTTTCATTGTGGGACCTGCCAGTCCACTTTGGGAATGTGTGCATGTGTATACACAGTTCTTTGCTCTTTCCTGGAGCCATCTGGAGTCCCAGCCCAGGGACAATGAGGTCTTCAGTATCTGCTGATAGATCAAGGCCATGGAATTCCATTTATAGTGTGTATCATAGGAAACTTCAGGGGAGTAGGAGCACAGCTGCCCTGAAAGAAGAAAATATTATGGATTTTGAAGTAGTTTTGATATAATTCATTTATTTTTATTTTGTTTTTCAGTGGCTTTTTTGTTAAGCCCAATTACTAAAATCATGGGTCTATGTATCAAAAATGCGTGCGGCTTAAACATCTTCCTGAAGGAAGGTTCCATCGACAATGGGACCATTCAGTTTTTGTTTTTATGTCAAGTTCAGCACTGCAGACAAATTCTGTTGAAGTGAAAAATATAAACAAAACTTTCTTCCCACAGATAAGTCCCGTTAGGACAGCCAGACTGGCACTAACTCCCCACGTGCTCTCTAGGGCTACGCGTTCTGTGAGAAGCCACAGCCACACGCGCAGCAGGGCAGGTGGCGGGCGTGGGAGCCCGGGCCACACAGCGGGAGTCGGCCACAGGCTCCAGGACACCAGGTACATACCCTGATCCTGATGGAGAGGCACTCTGTGGGATGTCATTGTGCTTAGAATTAATTCAAAGGTTAATCATTCAAACTTACATTTGAGAATTTGCACTTGTCGCCGTGGAGAGGATCCCACAGGAAACACTAGTTTTAGTGCTCTCTCACCTCTTACCTGGATTGTTGTCATTGCGTCCTAACTGGTGTGTCTGCCTCTGTTCTCAGGGGACTCGAACACTAATTAAGATTGCCAGATGAAAGACAGGATGCCCTGTTAAATGTGGATATCAGGTAAACAACCATTTTTTAAAATACAAGCTTGTCCCCAAATATTACATAGGATGATGATATAATCACATATCCTGGAATGACATGTCACTAAATCCTTCAAAGACGTTTTTCACGGTTAGTGCCGACCACTTCCACATCTCGGTATCCAGCCTCATTTTGTGTTCTCGGCGGAAAATCCCCTTAGTGAAGTCTTGCAGGCAACATGTTGAAAACCTGACTTATCATCTCCCCGTCCATCTTCTCCATTTCAGTGACGTTGCCACCATCCGCCCAGTTCCTGAAACTGCCCTGGCCACGCCCTGAGCCCCATATGCATTTGTGGGTCTCTGTAAGTTTTCCTGGGCCCTTTTGTTCCTTCCCCTATTTGGTGTCGGCAACCAGCGATGCCTTTACTAAGATCACAGCACAGCATTTCCACCGCTCTCCCCTTTGATGTGTCCTTCCCTCCAATCAAGTGACTTTCAAACTTCGGACATAAAGTGTGTGCACAGAACCAAGTTTCCTGCAGCTATGGTTACCCTTACCACCTGTGGGGTATTCTGACATTTTCTATTCTGTTCCATTTAAGAACAACAACAAAAAGCCAGTTGGTAACCTCTTGAGTGGATGAGTTATGACCTGCAGTTTAAAAACACGTCTATTCCACTTTATAAAGAACAACCAGAATGGTCTCTGTAAGCCCTTGGGCAGATCACAGCATTCTCTTACTTAAAACCCTTCAGTAATTTTTATACTCATTATCCTTAGATAAAGTACAAGATCTTCTTGTAGCTTTAAAAGCCTCCCACTCGCTCTGTTCTCCCTTCCGTGAGCTGGCCCTCCTATCTGGAGAGCTCGTCTTCCCTTTCTTCAGAGCTGATTCCCCGCAGCGATTAAGTCCTTCAGGCCTCAGTGGCGTTTCTTCAAGGAGGCCTCACCGACCTCTGGGCCTGGAGGAATCCCTTCACCGGATGTTCTCCCACACTCAGTGCTTTCGTAGCAGAGAGAAACTTCCAGAACAGTAGTCACTCAAGTGCTCGCCGTCCTTGAGAGGCTCTCCCTGTCACTCAGAGCAAAATCCAGTCCTCACAGCGGCCTACACGGTCCCGTGCGAGCCCCTCCTACCTCACCGACCGTGTCTTCTGCTACTTTTTCTCTTTTTTAACTTTGTTCCAGCCTCACTGGCCTCCTTGTTATTCCTCCAGGGTGGCCAGGCACCCTCCTACCTCAGGACCCTCGCTGTTCCCTCTGCCTAGAACCCTCCCCCATATTAACGTGGATCTCTCATTTCTTTTTCTTTCTTTTTTTTTTTTTTGAGACAGAGTCTCACTCTGTTGACTGGGCTGGAGTGCTGTGGCGTCACCCTAGCTCACAGCAACCTCGAACTCCTGGGCTCAAGTGATCCTCCTGCCTCAGTTTCCCGAGTAGCTGGGACTGCAGGCATGTGCCACCATGCCCTGCTAATATTTTCTATTTTTGGTGTGGGGGGGGTGGGTCTTGCTGTTGCTCAGGCTGGTCTCGAACTCCTGAGCTCAAAGGATCCGCCCACCTTGGCCTCCCAGAGTGCTAGGATTACAGGTGTGAGCCACCAGCCGACTCTCTCATTTCTTTTCATTCTCCTCGTCTTGTCAGTGGGGCCTTCTCCGATTGTCCTATTTAAAATGGCATCCACCACTCTGACTCTTCTTATTTTCTTCTCTGCTTTATGTTAATTAATTAATTTTGCTTTGTTATCTATCTCTCTCTACTAGGATGGAAGCTTTGTGATGATAAAGGTTTTTCTCTGCTTTCCTCACTGCTAAATCCGCAGCTGCCAGAATAGTGCTTGGCTTGCTGAAGGTACTCAATAAATTTATTTGTTAAATAAACAAATATGTAAATAGATGAATCTTGTCTATATACTTTTGAATATTATAGAATATGGCCTCATAAATATATGTATGTTTTTGCACGAGAAGAAGAAGGGCTTGTTGGTCACGTCGTGATGTTTTGGTTTCATCTAGATCCTACCATGAGAAATACTTAAAACTTGTTTTTTTTTTTTTTTTTGAGACAGAGTCTCCCTTTCTTGCCCAGGCTAGAGTGATGCGTGGCATCATCCCTAGCTCAGCAACCTCAAACTCCTGGGCTCAAGCGATCCTCCTGCCTCAGCCTCCCAAGTAGCTGGGACTACAGGCACGAGCCACCATGCCCGGCTGATTTTTATATTATATATATTAGTTGGCAATTATCTTTCTATTTTTATTTTTTTTATGTAGAGACGGGGTCTCGCCTCAGGCTGGTTTTGAACTCCTGACTTTGAGCAATCCCGCTCCCGGCCCTCGGGCCTCCCAGAGTGCTAGGATTACAGGCGTGAGCCACCGCGCCCGGCCTTAAAACTTGTTTTGCATTTGGTATAATTGATGTCACTCTTCTTGTCTGAAAAATGATGGCATGAATCTTTTCTTTTAGGGATATTGGCTCTTTGCTTTTCAGCATAATCTTCTAGCAGGTTGTTGATTTTTTAAAAATATGGCTTTAAAAAAATTTAGCTTGAATTTTGTCACAAAACAAAGATGTTATTTCCAAGAGAAGGTCAAGACCCACATGACATTTTTTCATTCTAAACATTGAGATAGTTTTAATAATGCTTGAACCTTCTCCAATATACATGAAAAGCAATGAAGAAATAAAAAACAATTAAGTTGTTAATTTAGTACCTACAGTATGACTAATAGTCTTTTCTCAATTAACTTATGATTAAAGGCTTTAACTTTCTAGTTCCTTAGGTTTTCTGTATCTAAAGTAGAGAAGCAACACTAGTACTAATTGTTTTAAGCTCATCGAAGTCTTCAAGAGTCTATATTTTATCATTACTCCATGGGTTAAAGACTATTTTTCTCATTATGTAGGTGAAGGCTGATTGAACCTAGAAGAGTAATAAACATCCCTTTGGAGACTTAGTCCTAGGAGAGGAGGTAAGAGGCTTCATTGTAAAGGTTATATGGCAATAAATATGCTGTTACAGAAAGTGACGAAAGAGAAAGAAAGAACATCTGTGCTCCTTTTGCCTTTTGTACCAAATATAGGGAATTCCAGGTATCAAAACCAACAGAAAGTATTTTCTTATAGGATATTTGGAGCAGTTGGGAATGGTCTGTTTTTATATAATTTTATATATATATATATATACACACACACACATACATATTTATTATTGTTATTTATTTTTTTGAGACACGGTCTCCCTCTGTCACCCAGGCTGGAATGCAGTGGCACAATCACAGCTCACAGCAACCTCAAACTTCTGGGCTCAAGAGATCCTCCTGCCTCAGCCTCCTGAATGCCTAGAACTGTACATGCGCACCATCATGCCTGGCTAATTTTTAAAGTACTTTGTAGATTTGGGGTCTTGTTTTGTTGCCCAGGCTGGTCTAGAACACCTGGCCTCGAGTGATCCTCCCACTTTGGCCTCCCAAAGTGCTGGAATTACAGCCACCATGCCCAGCCAATAATATTAATATTTTTAAATCAAGGTGATTTATTCAATAGTTAACTGGTTTTTTTTAACATTATACTTTTAAAAGACATTTTCTACACTATATTCATAGCTCTGGAGAAAAACTCATTGTCAGATTTCACATCTCAGTTTGTAGTTGCGAAAATATGGCACTTATATACTTAACGTGATATGTTAAGCAATTTTATTTGTGAAGCTGGGAACTAAAATATAACTTTGGTAACTCTACTACTTCTGCTTCAAAGAAGGCAGAACTCCTTAATGTTTTATATTTGGTGCTATCTTAATTTTACAGATCACATTCTACATATATTTCCTTTTAGGCTAATTCCCATTTGCCTTTATTCAAAAACGCAGTTAAACCATGAACAATAGCTCAACATAAAAGGTCTCCATAAGTGTTTGATGAGACTGCTCTAGCTGGGGGATGGTTAGGAGCTGTATATCAAGGATGCTTGAGCAATGTCAAGATTTCTACAAAGTGGTAGCCTTTTTCTAATCTCTCTCTTTTTCTCTCTCTCCTCTTCCTGTGCCCCTCCCCATGCCCGTCTCTCAAGCATAAATAATTTAAAAAGAATATCAAAGAAAAAAATGGACAAATTAATATAAAAAATTAAAAGCATAGTCAATGAAAATGAATGTCTCCTTCTCCAGGTACCCCTTTGAACAAAGTCTCCTTTTGCAGTGGCAACATTTTAAGTTCCTCTGCTAATTTCTTATCCTTGATTTATCAACTCTGGGCAATATCTACTGACTCCTTGCTGTAAAGGATGGGATGCATTCTCACAAAAATTCTACCTCCATTTCTGTCTTTTACCTCCTGATGATATTTGTTAGCTCTTATATATTCAGTTCTTCTCGTGGCCGCCTTTTATGACTTTGGATACTATAGATGGCTTCTATTTCAAACTGATTTTTAGAAGTACCTATTGACTCCTTGCTTGGAAAATTCAGGAAATTAGCACATATATCTGTTGTTCCACTCTCTTCTTCTGAGATTCCTTGGTTATGTTTTTATTTTTATATTGTCATGACTTATAACATTCACATGCTTCCTTATCTTCTAACATCTTTATCAGCTCCTGGTTGCCCTCAGGATAAAGTCCAAATTCTCTACTATAGTAAATAAAATCCTTAAACACCAGCCCCATCCTCTCTCCCTGGCCTAATCTGCAGTACAAGGAGTTGTAACTGACCTCATATATACCAGGGCCTTTTATCTGCCTGGGACTTTGCACATATTGTTAAGTGGAATTTAAACTTTTCTTCTTTCTTTCTTTCTTTCTTTCTTTCTTTCTTTCTTTCTTCTCTTTTCTTTCTTTCTTTCTTTCTTTCTTTCTTTTCTTTCTTTCTTTCTTCTTCTTCTTCTTTCTTTCTTCTCTCTTCTTCTTCTTTTCTCTCTTTCTTTCTTCTTTCTTTCTTCTTTCTTTCCCTCTTCCTTCCTCTCCTTCCTTCTTCCTTCTTCCTTCCTTCCTTCTTCCTTCCTTCTTCCTTCCTTCCTTCCTTTCTTCCTTTTCTTCCTTCTTTCCTTTCGACAGAGTCTCACTGTGTTGCCTGGGCTAGAGTGCCATGGTGTCAGCCCAGCTCACAGCAACCTTACACTCCTGGGCTCAAGCGATCCTCCTGCCTCAGCCTCCCGAGTAGCTGGGACTACAGCATGCGCCACCATGCCCGGCTAATTTTTTTCTATATTATTAGTTGGCCAATTAATTTCTTTCTATTTATAGTAGAGACAGGGTCTCCCTCTTGCTCAGGTTGGTTTCGAACTGACCTCGAGCAATCCGCCCGCCTCTGCCTCCCAGAGTGCTAGGATTACAGGCATGAGCCACCACGCCGGCCTCTGACAAATTCATACTCATGCTTCCAGACTCAGCTTCAATGTACTCTTTGCTAGAAGCCTTCCTGCTTCTTAATTTTCTAGGTGGTCAGTCCCTCCCATGGGTTCTCACTTCCCTCTTGCTACCTCCTGCCCACATGACGCTTTCACATGAAACTGCAATTTCAGGTTTATGCATCTGTTTTTTCTTCTTGAGTGTGGGCATCAAGTGTGTGTATGTTTCATTTCTGTGTCTGTAGCATCCAGGGTAGTGTCCTCATACGGAATAAATAATTGAATAAACAAGAAAAAGTTTTAACAAAGAGATCAACTAGTGCATCCAGGCTTTTATTTCTTTCTTTCCTAAATTGATTTTATTCAGCAAAATTTTCAGTAATCTTATTCTGGTCATATTTGTGTTTATCTACATTCTTGGGGGCAGTAATTGAAGGAGAAAATCATTTCTGCTTGTATTGCTGGTAAATAAACATTTCACCTCTTCTACACTGGGCCCAAAAGTGAAGAAGGATAAGAGAAACTTCTAAGTTTCCTTTTGGAAATTTCTAGAAAGCTACCACAAAAAGCTATCAAAGTTTTGGAAACTTTGATTAAAAGCTACCACAACTTAGTTTTTATCAATATATACCGTTTTAGAAATTTAAATGACAGTGCAAAGGGAGGGTAAAATGACTTTAAAGGATATTTGTTATCAAGTGTGCTAAATGAAAATAATTTATCATTTATTTCTTTAGTGAGCAATATGGGATTTATTGAAGAATTCATAAAGGCAACGGAGGAAAAGTTCTATATCCCTTATCACATTTCCCCTCCAAATACCCACTGGACATCTCTTCTCTGCAGCCAGTTACTCTGTGTGTGTGTGTGTGTGTGTGTGTGAGTGTGTCTCTCTCTCTTTCAGTCTTCCTCCAACTTTAAAAAATCTTACATTTTCTCCAAAATTTCCATGCATGAAGCTAGACTGCAGATGTACAAATCCTTGTCGGGTCAGACTCTCCAAGCAGACCAGTCAAAACCCTTTCTGAACAAATGAGCTCTCCTTAAGGTGATATCTCATTCTAGCTGCTAAGAAAAACAAGGTTTGTCTTTTATTCCTTTTGTGTGTGTGTGCGTTAAGTACATTTAAAAAAAATCACTAAATAAACCCTTTAAGAAGGAAATCAACTCCCAGAAGTGATATTTATTCAAAGAGATTCCTTAGAAACTTCTGTAGCTGCACCATCTATTTTGAGTAGGCATGTGGCCACAGGTTCAGCTGAATTGGCCCAGTTTCATTGCTCTATTGACTACAATCGGTCCACGTGTTGAACTTCGTCACTCATTAGATTTCGGTTATGCTCTTCATTCCTCCTGGTATAAAATCGATTAAAGGCAATGGTGAGAAGCCACTAATGAATTAAGCACCCAGATATAATTATAATTCTGTATGTTCTGAGACAGTATAGTGTTAAAAGGTATTTAGGCAATATGTGAGCCACCTTGTCAAAGGCAGAGTAGTGAAGTGGTGAAGACCTGAAGCCACCCTGCCCAAGTTCGAATCTTGACTCTCTTGCTTTGAAGCTGCATGACCTTGAGCGAGTCACATGGCCTGTCGGAGCTTTTGTCCTCATCTGCCGATGGGGAATGCGAATATGAGTTAACATGTGTGTTAAGCTTAGCACAGTGCCAAGCTTATTTGACTCACAGTAACTTCTACCAATTATTATTTTCTTTGCAAAGAACACATAGGGACAAAAGCAAATGACATTTCCCTATCGTAGTAACTATGAACCGTTGGTAGTGTATCCTTCCAGAACATGAAGTATATAGGTAGTTTTAACCAAGACGGCAGTAGCACAACGGGAATGTTAATGCCACTTTAGGAAAGACTTGGTTGAACAAAACCGAACTATACAGTTTACAGTTTTTCAAAAGAGATTTGCTTTAAAAGCCTTGCGTCTATGTTACTCCCTGATTTTTAAGTAATGAGAAAGTAGTGGAAGAAAATACAAGGTGATATAGTTACCTAAGAATTCATACATCAAATATATTCAGAATTCACAAATTGTTATCATGTGTTCAATATTCATATCAAGAATTCTGGACAAATAGCTAAGCTATGGGGCTGGGTCTCTCTTTAAGTTCATATATATGTATATGATAGTTTTAAAAATTGGCCTTCTATATATTCTATTTCTGGGTGTTGAGGGAAAAGCTGTTGCTTAGCAACCAGTTGTTTCTGCTTGGCTATGTAAAATGGAAACCCATGCAAATCAGAGGCAAATAATTCTCTTTATTAGGAGTGCTGAGTTACTGGTTTAACTATTAAGTTGGCTCCCAACTTGGTTTAGGGTTCCTTGTGTGGAAAAGATAAAATATGAAACTGTATCATGATATTTACTAATTAAAGAACACAGATTAATTCGCAAGATGTAAAATAGTATATAAAAAAGGAATCATTTGGAGATTTTTTTTAAAAAAATTACCTAAGTTTTAAGGTAAATGATAAAAGTTTTACATAGAAAGTATTTACATCTTAAAACAAAAAGAAAAAATTAAAATATATGTACTAAATGCTTGAGTTATATCCAACAAAAGATAGGTTTACTTAAATATAATTTTATATGTATTTTCTTCATGTATTTTAGGTTTTTACCAAAGATTACTTGCTAGGGAAAGATAGGTTAAGTCATATAAAGGTGAATCTCTTAGATGTTGCCAACAAAACTGTCAACTGAAGCTAAAGAATATTTATTGGAGTGAAAGATTTGGTGCTGGTAGTAGTGTGCTCAGAATGGATGGAATATTGGAGAACCAGGCTTGGAGATGGACTAGAACCTTGAGCGTGCCAACGACTTCTTGAGGTCAGAGCTGTTGCTATTGCCTTGTGTCTCTCTCAAGCTTCAAAAACCCAGGGGAGAGCATTGCCTGGCTGATTCCTCAAATACCTGCTCCTTGGCTGGGGGGAGTCAGGGGCCAGGAAGGATCTGGTTCCTTCGACTTCCATGGAAGCGTGCATCTGGATTTACAGGACTGAACACTGCACAGGAGATTTCCTTTTTCCAAAAGGAATTCTGGGTGCCATTAGGAAGAAAGAAATTAATGCTAGAGATGTATGTATGGAGATATAGATATATACTGTAGAGATATTATCTATAGTTGACCCCTGAACAATGTGGGGGTTGGGGTTGCTGACCCCCCTGCATATAATTCTTGACTCTCAAACTTAACTGCTAGTAGCCTACTGTTGACTGGAAGCCTTATCAATAACATAAACAGTCAATGAACAAATATTTTGTGTGTGTATGTATTTTATGCATTGTAGACTGTATCCTTACAATAAGTAAGCTAGAGAAAAGAAAATGTTATTAAGAAAATCATAAGGAAGACAAAATACACTTACAGCTCTGTATTATATTTATCAATACTTCAAGCTACATTATTTGTTTACAAGATGAATCATCTGTCGGGAATGGCAGGCCACTGTGTACTTATCAAGCAGTTCAACTCGGGGAATGTCATGACTTTTTTCTGTTTCTTGGGAGCACTTCCAGCATCACTAGTGGTACTTTGTATGGGTCTTATGGTGTTATTCGAGGTTTATTGTATGCACTAAACATGATGAAAAATATGTGAGAACCATGAAAGATCAGTTACTTTTTACTGCAATATGCTATTTATTGGAGAGCACTGCTCTCATGGAGATGATTAGTGTCACATGGTGTTTTCAGTGGAGACTGACACTTGAACTTGCCACAATAGCAACAGGAAGTGGCTATGAAATTATTACAGGAGTACAGTATGTACTCCAGTTAATTTTATGCAGTTATGATTTAATGCTGCATCTCTATGTTTGTTTACATTGCTCTCAAGTGCAAATGGTGCCATGAACAGTCTCTGTGCATAAATTTTTATAAATTTTAACTTTTTATAATAGATTTGTATATATTTTATGGTAGTAAATGATAAAATAGATGCTACATATATTTTATGCATTCATGACATACCTTTCTTAATTTTTTTTGATATTTCTAGGCTACACGTGGTTCACCTATGAATTTTTTTTGAATTGTCACAAATCTCCAAAAAATTCTCCAATATATTGAAAAATATGCACATATAAGTGAGTGCACACAGTTCAAACCCATGTTGTTCATGTAAAAATCCCCATTGTGGTAAGTCTCCAGTAACTCATAATCCACTCATGTGTGACCCTAGTTCCTTTTCCCCCTCATGTTCCTCACTTCTATTTTTTTTTTCTTTTTGATCATTGAAAAGTCACCTTACCTCACTTCTAAAGTGTATGTAAAAGTCACCAAAGGCCAAAATGACAGGCAAGAGAGAAGTCTATTTCTTTCTCACGAAATAGTCAAGCTTAAGTAAACGAGGGCTGTATGGCAGTACAAGGGATCAGGCTGTTTCTGTCTAGTTGCTCTGCCATCCTCAACATGCAGCTTCCATCTCGTGGTCTAACGTGGGTACCCCTGCATCTCCCACTGTGTCCGCATTCCATCCAGTGGGAAAGTGAGAAGGGCACAGGGGAGAGCATGCATCCCTTCAGCTTACATGTCATTGTCCAGAGCTTAGTCACATGGCCACACCTAAGAGAAGTGGGAAATACAGCTCTTAGTTGTTATAGATGGGTAGAGTAAAAGTTTTCTGGCATATCATTTCATAACAAACTTAATTACTGTCTTACTGTGCTCAAACAGAAAATGTCTACTTCTTTAAAAAATAACAATAGCAACCTAAATGTTAACCCAAAGAAACAAACCCTGAACCAAACTAACTAATAGAAAATGATGAATAAAATTCTTATAATGTGGGTTCTCTATAAGCAATAAACTGTTGTCTTTCAAACTATGAGGGTAACATATGTTGTACTAAAGAAATAATTGACCTACTGACATCTCTGACTTCTACTGTCCCAGGAAGTGGATGAGTAAGGGCATCCTTAGGTGTAGTTCTGCCACTTTCAAGATTCCCTTATTTCACTAGCATGTTGCTGAAATCCTACACACGTGCTTTGATACTCAGAAGAACATGTGATCTTCTATCAAAAGCCTTACAAATGTACATTCCCTTTGACCCAGAAATACTACTTCTAGAAGTTTATCCTAAGGGAAACATTGAGGATGAAGGAAAAGATTTATAAGGATATTTATTGCAAAATTATTTGTTGTAGTAAAAGATTAGAAACAGCCTAAATATCAAAAAAATGAAAGTGTATACATAAATTATGTTATATCCATACAATAGATTGCCACTCTGCCATTAAAAATGATAGGTGGAGAAATATGTTTATTGACATGGAAAGATCCTTATAATATTAAATGAAATATGCAGATTATAAAATATGTATTCAAGTCTATAAATTAAAGCTATACATATTCTTTTACTTATTTAGTTTATAATTAAAACATAATTATATATGTTTATGGGGTACAGTGTGATGTTTTAATACCTGTGTACATTGTAAAGTGATCAAATCAGGATAGTTAGCATGTCTATCGCCTCAAATATTTATCATTTCTTTGTGGTGATAACTTTCCAGATCTTCTTTTCCAACTCTCCTGAAATGTATAAACATTGTTATTAGCTATAGTCAGCTTACTATGTACTAGAATGCCAGTACTTGTTCTTCCTATCTAACTCTAACTTTGTACCCCTTGACTGATAGTTCTCCATCTTCCTTTCCCCCTCCCCTCCCTAGCCTCTGGTAACTACCATTCTACTCTCTATTTCTATAAGATCAACTTTCCTGATTCCACATGTGAGATCATGTGGTGTTTGTCTTTATGTGCCTGGCTTATTTTATTAACATTATGTCCTCTAGGCCCATCAATATTGCTGCAAATGACAGAATTTGATTTCTTTTTATTGCTCAGTAATATTCCATTTGTATATACATGCCACATTTTCTTTATCTGTTCACCAGTTGATGGACACTTAAGTTAATTCCATTTCTTGGTTATTGTGAATAATGTTACATTAAATATGGAAGCGCAAATATCTTTTTGACATATGGACATCATTCATTTCCTTTGGCTATATACCTGGTGGTAGAATTTCTGGGTCATATGATAGTTCTATTTTTAATTTTTTGAAGAATCACCATACTGTTTTCCACAATGGCTGTACTAATCTATATTCCCACCAACAGTGTATAAGAATTCCCCTTTTTCTACATTCTGGCCAGCATTTGTTACTTTTTGTCTTTTTGATAATAGCCATTCTAACTGGAGTGAGGTTATAGCTCATTGTGATTTTAATTTGCATTTCCCTGATTCTTAGTGATGTTAAACATTTTGTCAGGTACCTGTTGGCCATTTGTATGTCTTCTTTTGAGAAATATTTATTCATGTCTTCTGTCTATTTTTTAATTAGAGTATTTTCCTTTTTGCTATTGAATTGTTTGAGTTTTCTGTATATTCTGGATATTAACCCCTTGTTGGATGCATAGTTTGCAAATATTTTCTCCCATCTTGTAGGTTGTCTCTTCACTCTGTTAATTATTTCCTTTGCTGTGCAGAAGCTTTTTAGTTTGATGCAATCTTATTTGTCTAATTTTGCTTTTGTTGCCTATGCTTTTATGGTCCTTTCTAAAAAAAATTTTGTCCAGACTAATGTCATGAAGCAATTCCTGTTTTCTTCCAGTAGTTAAATAGTTTTAGTTTTAATCTTACCTTTAATTCTTTAATCCATTTTGAGTTGCTTTTCATATAAGGCAAGAGATACCTGTCTAGCTTTATTCTTCTGCATGTGGACATGCAGTTTTTCCAGTACTTTTTATTGAAGAGAATTTCTTTCTCCTAATGTGTATTCTTGGCACCTTTGTCAAAAATCAATTCACTGAAGGTATGTTAATTTGTTTCTGGGCTCTCTATTCTGTTCCATTGATTTATGTGTCTATCTTTATGCTGGTACCATGTTGTTTTGGTTACAGTAGATTTGTAGTATATTTGAAGCCAGGTAGTGTGATATCTCCAGCCTTGTTCTTTTTGCTTAGGCTTGCTTTGACTATTTGGAGTCTGTTGTGGTTCCATATGAATTTCAGGATTGTTTTTTTTCAATTCATATGAATAACATCAATGGTATTTTGATAGGGGTTGTTCTGAATCTGTAGGTCACTTCAGATAGTATGCACATTTTAATGATATTAATTCCTCCAATCCATGAACATGGGATTATTTCCTTTTTTTGTGTGTATTGTTCAGTTTCTTTCATCAGTGTTTTATAGTTTTCAGCAAAGAGATCTTTTACCTCCTCAGTTAAATTTATTCCTATGTATTTTATTTTATTTTTTGTAGCCATTATAAATGAGATTACTTTCTTGATATGTTTTTCAGATAATTTGTTATTGGCATATAGACATGCTACTGATTTTTTTATGTTGATTTTGTATCCTGTAACTTTATTAAATTCATTTATTAGTTCTAATAGCTTTTTGGTAGAGTCTTGGGATTTTCTATTTTCTATGGTCACGTCATCTGGAAACAGGGACAATTTGACTTCCTCCTTTCAAATTTGGATGTCTTTTATTTTTTTCTCCTGCCCAATTGCCTAAGACTTTTCATCCTAGGTTGAAAAAAAGCAGTGAAAGTGGACATATTTGTCTTGTTCCGTATATTAGAGGAAAACCTTTCAACTTTTTCCCATTTAGTATGATATTAGCTGTGGGTTTGTCATATATGCCCCTTATCATTTTGAGGTGTGTTCCTTTTTACTAATTTGTTGAGAGTTTCACCATGAAAGGATGTTGAATGTTATCGAATGTTTTTTCTGCATCTATTGAAATGATAATGCGGATTTTGTCTTTGAGTCTTTTAATGTGATGTATTACATTTATTGATTTGTCTATGTTGAACCATCCTTGAATCCTTGAGATGAATCCCACTTGGTCATAGTGAATGATCTTTTAAATGTGTTGTTGGATTTGGTTTGCTAGTATTTTATTGAGGATTTTTGTATCTATGTTTACCAGAAATACTGACTTATAGTTTTCTTTTTTTTGTTGTATCTTTGCCTGGTTTTGGTATCAGGATAATGCTGGCCTTGTAGAATGAGTTTGGAAGTATTCCTTTCTCATCAACTTTCTAGAATAGTTTGAGGATAATTGTTATTCTTTAAATGTGTGGTATAATTCAGCAATGCAGACTTCAGTTTCTATGCTTTCCTTTGATGGGAGTGTCTTTATTACTGCTTCAATCTTGTTATCTGTTATTGGTCTGTTCAGGTTTTCTGTTTCTTCATGACTCAATCTTGATAGGGTGTACATGTCCAGGAATTATTTATCCATTTTCTCTAGATTTTCCAATTTGTTAGCATATAGTTATTCATAAGATTCTCTTATGATCATTTGTATTTCTGCAGTATCTTTGCTTCTTTGTATTTTTGAAATTAGAAAAAAAAGAACACATATTATTTGTATAATCACCCCTCCCTTTTTTAACGTAGAAAAGAAAGTAAAAGCTGTGTTCTCTCACCTCTCAGCCAGACTCAGAATGATATAGGAAGACAGGGGTTCTCCCAGGTGGATCTGCAGGGAGGATCTTGCCCTAGAAGCAGTCCTTCCCAAAGCCTCTATCTAGACAAAGCAGATTGGTCCCTAAACAGACAGTGGGGTGAGACTGACAGAGCAATGAAGAGGCTCACGCTGTGGGGACTGGTAGGCATCAGATAGGTCAGTATGAGGGGATGGAATCTAGATCGAAAGGAATCAAAGAAAGAATAGGAAAATAGAAAATAGGAATATAGGATACTCTTGAGAAGTTTGTCAGTTTAAAGGGCAATAGCAATAATAATAATAATAATAGATAGTAATAATCATCATTGTTTTAGTTATTTTAGGGAGAATCTAAACAACATTCAGGCAGATAGGAAGGAGTCACTAGAGAAACAGAAAACAGAAGAGACACAGGGGCAGTGATTCTCTGGAGGAGCCAAGGCCTGGGGAAGGGGTGGGCTGGGGTCAGGGGCACAGGTGGAATACTTGACCTGCGAAAGTACAGAGATTATTTATTTTTTCTGAGGCGAGACAAAAGAAAGAAACATGAGTTAAGAGCCATTTGAATTTTGAGTGGAGGTCTTAATCCCAACTACAAAGAGGGAGGTTGGTACTAGAGGCTGGAGAATTGTGACTTACAACCAGGGAACAGCGGGAATGCGATGGGCCAGGCTTGACATTGTTAATAGTATGTGGGATTTGAGTTTCAGGATCACCATTGAAACTGGCTGTTTTATTTCAGTTTGTCCTGAAAGAATTTTGGGTGGGAACCCAAACACTATCATAGTTGGTAACAACCATATTTGACTCTCTTAGGTAACACAGGAGTCTGCGTCTAAGTTATTGGGTTAATAAATAAACTTCTTGGGCTTAGAAATATTTTTTGTGAATAGACTTGTGAGTCAGAGACCAAACCTGTTTCCTTAAATTTAAGTAGATTCTGGAGAAGATAAGAAAGATGTAAATGTTTGTCACATATGTTCATTCTTAGAAGCTGTTCTGAATTTAGTCTAAAGTCAGGAATATAGGAACATAAGTTAGGACTTATAGGTATAGATTTGTAGAAGAACAAGAATTTGGACCTATCCTAGTCATATGCTATTGAAGAAATGCAACTGGAAGAGCCTTCATGAAGAGTCACATTACTGGGCCCTTCCAAAGGCAGATTAACCATTGGAAAAACAAAGGCTTTTGGAACGTTGTTATTTGTCTGGTTAAATTTATTTAGGCGTGTGTCTTTCAGATCGTTTAGATGTATTTTTTTTACCTAGCAGCCTTGGCTCTTGATTGCCATTCATTTAAGAACAATAATTTCTGTTCTTTTTACATTGCATAATTAAAAAAAACTATTTGACTTCTTTGGGCTCTACCTTTTTAAACTATAAAAGATAGGATGAATAATATTGGCCTTCCTCACCAAGGTTCATGTAAAAATTTCTCCTGAAAGGAAAGAGTTGGACCTTTCTATTTTTATTTTTCTGCTGTCTTAGCTTTATAATCATTAATCATGTACAATTTCCCATTATAAATAATATCTTCAAGGACAGCACATGGTCTGATATACAGAGAGGGCTAGAAACTCTCTGTCATGGTGATTAGCCTCATCTCTCCTCAGGACAATGGGGGTACCACATTTTTTACAAAGGTTATAACAGGATAATGAGTCCTTTCACATGGATTATCAGATAAGACTCTTAACTGTAAGTGCCAGAATCTCACTTGAGCCAGAGTAGACAAAATGGCAACCATATTATTAATAGTTCATATAATGAAACTGCCAAAAAGACAGGAACCACAGAGCTTGGGGAGCTGATGGCATAAGGACTCACGTCTCCTTTCTCATTTTCTTTCTCTTTGTATGTTAATTTCATTGTCTGAAAATTCCCCATAAGGCTGACATATCCCCAGTTTCTTCCCTGAGAGGAAAGGGCTCATTTTCTCTGGAAGTTAAAAAATCCTGGGAAAGGGGCTCATGTCTGTGAGAGAGGGAGCGAAGAAATATGGGTTATATGTGGGGTACTGGGATGGGCAGACATCACTGGAACCACATAGCGGAGGAGGGGAGCAGTTCCCCCGAAGTCCAGTGCCGCAGGGCCACTGAAGCGAGGAGACAACCATGGCGTCTGTGTGTCTTTTACTGCAGAGAGATTAGAGCAGATGTGAAGTGTTAAACAACAGACAGAATTCCGTTGCCAATTTTATAAACGTTTGTCCCTGCCACACAAAAAATGAACATAAATAAGAAATAATCTTTGCCCTAAAGAATGTTATAACCCATGGAGGGATTAGAAACTGCATAGGTAATTATGATTCAAGAAAGAATATGCTAATTATCATGAAAAGCTTCCAATGTGCTCTAGAGAGTTCAGTGGGCAGGGAGAGACTGGATTGATTTGAACAGGAAAGACTAGGGAGATGGTTTGGACCTTAAGGAACATTATGATTTTGGTAAAAGAGGTACAACTTTGGACAGGTGTTGAGAGGACGCTCCATCCAGCTGAAACTGCATGAGGGATTCTCCTATGTGGGAGAGATGAGCAGAAGGCATTTGGGGAGCTGCAGAGAATCTAGCTGCAAACTGAAGGTGTGCCTTAAAGGTATATTGTCGGAGGTCCTTAAATGCCAAGCAAAGGAATGTGCACCAGTTGAAAGGGTGGAAATTCACTATGTGTTTACGGTGAGTGGAGAAAGATTTTTCATAGAGTTTAGGATAGGAAGAAGTAGAAGGTTTATTTTCTTGAAAAACCAAAAAGAGAGAGAGCAAGAGAGAGGGAGAGGGAGTGGCCATGACACACGATTGAAGGACTAGAAATGTCTGGCCCCAGGGAGAAGTGGCTCAGCATTTTTAAAGGGCAAAAATGGCTTTTTTTACCCTGCTTCAGCAGACTGATGACAAAAGTGGCAGTGAAGCTGCTATAGGTATCGTTTGTTTCTGTTTTTTCTGTGAGGCTGGTTCATCAGAGCCTTTGGAATTTGTTTCTGACAGGAACTGAGGCAGAGAGCAGGCGTGGGGGGTTCGCACCCCTACTGTCCACTCAGGGCTCTTTAGGGCTGAGAAAATGGGACTCTCTTAGAAATAATGAGTTAGGCCACAGGTGTTTTAATTAAACAAACAAAGGGAGTAGTTGTGTTGTGTTTCCTTTTTAAAGGGGCATTATGTGTTGTAAATTTATTTCTCTTATTTTTTGTTTGCTAGTTTATTTTTCTCTGTTAGGCAGGTTATTAGTCAGGCCACCTTTCAGGAATTATCCCATACTTTCTCTTGCAGAGACCGATGGGAGCACCAAATGATCTATAAAAGAGGAATTTTGATCTCTGGACATGCTTAATTGCAGAGCTCTAATACAAGAAAGCATGACAGTGCCTGAAAGAGAGATGAGTGTCTGCTTCACTGTTTCTGTCAACGCCTCTGATGTTAGAATATGTACAACAGATTGACACAGAAAGTTGGCAACATCGCTTATTAAGTGAGAAAATTAAGCAAGAAAATAATTTTTAAAGCATTGATAAGGTAAGCTAGAGGTTCTCAAGGTGTGGCTTTGGGTCCAGCAGCGTCAGCATCACCTGGAAATTTGTTAATAATTCAAAATCTTGAGCTCTGGAAGCGGGGCCCAGCGATCTGTGTTTTATTTAACAAGCCCTTCATATAATGCTGATGAATGCTTACGTTTGAGAACCTCTGTGTGGTAGGCTGAAAATGGCACCCCAAAAGGTATTCACAACTTAATCCCTGGAACCTCTAAATATTACCTTATTTGGCAACAGAGTCTTTGCAAATGTGATGAAAGATCTTGAGACAAGAGATTATCCTGGGTTTTCTGGACAGATCCTGAATGTCATCATACATATCCTTATAAGAGAGAGACACAGAAGGAGATTACACACATAGAAGAGGACGAAGCACTGTGATCACAGTGGCAAGTCTGGGTCGGTGCAGCCACAAGCCAAGGAATTCTGGCAGCCACCAGAAGCCGGAAAAGGAAATGAATGGATTCTTCCACAGCGCATGTGGGAGCAGCGAATCTGATTTCAAATTCTGGTCTCTAGAACTGTGAGCACATAAATTTATTTTCTTTTAAGTCACCAAGTTTGTGGCAATTTGTTAAAGAAGCCAAAGGAAACTAAGACACACTCAAATAAGGAATGAAGAACTATAGGATAAAGTACTTAAAAATGTATTAGATTCTTATAAGAAAATGTACTTGCTATTATTAAAAATTTCTAAAAATAGTGATTCTTTTGTATTAAATAAAATTTACCACATCTAAAACATTTTTCCTAATACAGTTTGCCATCAAATGTGAAAGTATAATAATTTTCATAATGTTGGCATCAAAGTGGCCTTGATGTATCTTGATTTTCATACGATAGCTAATCTCATAGGAAAGGAAACAAATTCTACTGACAAAAGAAGAAAAGCAAGAGACCTTTTGCTTATAGATGAGATTTTTGCATAGGTCAGAGAGCTTTAATAAAGCTTTTATGGATAAGTAAATGTTCTTAGGAAATAATATGGGACAATGTTTCATAATAAATATGGGAAGCCATTTTATCTATAATCTATGCTATTTGATAAAATATTCAAGCTCTTTTTAAGATACCTGGAACATTCCAATACTTGTAATAATTTGTCTTCTCAGACCATTGTCATATATATATATATATATATATATATATATATACACACATATATATCCCACTTATTCCTTACACCTATTGTTTGAGCTGAGCAGGGGAGTATTTTTATTTTTCTTATATTAAGATAAACAAATGATGCTCAGACAAGTTAAGTGACCAGCCTGAGGTCACAAAAATGGTAGATGCTACATTTGAGATTGGAAACTCCCCAAATCTCCTGTACTACATGATTTGCAGGATTCCAGTTTTCCCCAGCTGACTTCAATGAGGCATATTCCTGTTTGTGGTTAATTACACTCTGGTCAGAGACATTGTGATCTAGTCCAATCCATTCATCAGGCATTTGCTGAGCATCTGTCGTGTGTCTGGAACTGTGCTGGGTATCAGGGGGAACACAGAGAAAGTGCAGGACATCTCACTAGCAGGGCGGAAATGCTCATGTAAATGAAGTGAATATGTATCAGAAAGAATAAAGCCAAATGCCACAATCTGGGAGGCTTTGCACAGATAAACCTTGAAGAATGGATCTGATTCAGGAGGTGAAAGGTGGAAAAACATTCCAGGAAGCAAGAGGGGAATGTGTGTGGGGGTGGAGAGAGAGTCACACAGCAATTTTTATGCAGAGAATCTTTAATATTTCCAGTGAACACTGCACCCTAGAAAAGTAAAGGCAAAGCAATACTCATATGTAAAAATTAAAACACATTTTGAAAACTTCTCAATCTGCCCAATTCTCCCATTCTAGTCCAATGGGTATAGCCTCTAGGAACTGGTAGCTCTGCTCCTGTGTTTTCTGAGGGCCGATAGGCCCGTGTGCACATGCATGTGAATATATTTGAATGCCTAGCCGTATAGTCCCTCTTAGGAAAAGAGATATCTTTGTTGAGGAAAATGTTTTAAGAGTTCAAGGGGAGGACACAGTCTGCAAGGAGGCGGGGAAATCAAAGCTACATTTCCCTAGTAAAGCGGCATGAATTATGGAGAGAGTTAAGTGAAGAAAGAGGGGAGGGGAGGAAATAGGAAGGAAAGAAATGGGCAGAGCGGGAGGCCAGAGCCTGAGGAGGGAGGACAACCATTAAGAAACTTCCAGGGCCCAAAATGGTAGAAGGGCTTTTAAGAACAAGGACATTTAATTTTTATTTTTAAATTGTTTTTGGTGTTTCCATGTAAATCTTCTCCATTGCCCTGAATCTTCCATAATAGTTATACCCAGAACCCTGAATTGGCGGTGTTTGGGGGAAGTACGTAAAGTGAGGTGTGGACATGAAGGAGTCCGGGCTACATGGGCAAGAGGCTCGGCAATGGTGGCGCGTGTGGAATGGCAAGACGATCTGCAACCGGACTGAGTTGAAGCCCTTGGTGACAAAGAGAAATCTAGGCCCATTATCCTCCTTCCCCCAAGTCACTGGAGAAGCGGGGAAGGATGTGGAGTTTTCCATTTCACGTAGGATGGGGTTTCAGCCAATTTCAGGTGAGCCACACAGGACTGGTGACCCCCGCCTACATCTGGGCCACGCCGGCTGTGGTTGGTCCCTTGCAGCATGTTCCCGTCTCCGCTTCACTGCGCTGCTCTGGCCGCCAGGGAAGGGCCTTTCTGTTTGCTGAAAATCACCAGGCAAGCGAGCCGGCTCCTGGAAGAGGAGGTAGAGCTAGATGCGCCAAATGTGCAGTCTCCAGAGAGTGACTCAGGTTTGGCTTCTCTTGGCTCCAGAGCCCATTTTCTGTTTACCAAGAGATTAATCATGGTTTCCAGATCGGTCTGCCAGGACGCCAGCATGGCTGGTTTAAGAAAGCAGAGGCGCTGAGTTCGGGATTTTTCCATGCTCTGATTAGTGATTTGCAGCAGGAAAATGAAGGGATGTGTTTCCTCCTTCGTAGCTCCCCAACAAATTACTGAGGTTCCCGTAACTTACCTGATACCGGTCACTTGTCCTGGTATAAACACACAAGGTTTATAGACTCACTTCTTCTTTACCAACCCAGGTGAGATGTCTCAATTCTTTTTCTTTTGTCAGCATAAGGGTGAATTCACAGTGTTTGATTAACCAGACTTGGAGGATATTTGAATTCATTTAATCTAACAACTCTGTAACAACCAGTATGTGCTAGGCTACAGAAGGCTGCACTGGATTTTCCAGGGAAATCAGGAAGGATTTTGAGATACTGTACGTATATCTTGCGTTCTTATAAAAGGGGCTGAGCCTGTCGTTTTGCTAGATTCCCTACCACCCTGTTAGGATATACCGTTTCAGTACATTCATATACAAACAATCAAGACACATAATGTCTTCTTGAGCCTGGTGGTAATAGCATGGGAGCAGTCTTTTTAAAAGTTGAAGCAGTAATTGATTTTGCTCTCATTTGTTGGGTTGTTTGCCACAGGAGGTGGCTTGATTATTTTTCACTGTAACTACTTTCACAGATACCCAGACAGATCCTATTTTCCCAAGGATAATAATGAAGCTGTTGAAAACATCATAAATGATTTATAAATAGAGAACTTGTTTTTCAATTACCTGGAATTAGGTTAAGTAGTTTGTGATAATTATATCTTAATATATGCAGTGTTTATATTAATAAAAAATAATCTCCAGTTAGAAAAAATTGTATTCAGCTCACAAAAAGATTTATGCTGTGAAGCAGATTAGTGAAGAAAAACATGTGACACGTCTGCCATGGTTTTCTTTTTACTTTACCAGTCTTTGAAAGTAGTGAAACAATTAGAATAAAGAGAAAGCTTACCACAGTATAGCATATTTCTATTTGGGTCCTGATTAATTTCCACCTCTAACTGTTTGCTGTATATAAATATGCACACACAACACATAGGGACTAGAACCGTGTTTCCCCCAAAATAAGACCTCCCCATAAAATAAGCCCTAGCAGGATTTCTAAGCATTTGCGCAATATAAGCCCTACCCTGAAAATAAGACCTAGTGTGGGCGTGGCTACGCAGCGCATCTGCACAACCCATGCATTTCTGTGGTTGAAGACAGACAGATGGACAGACAGGTAACAATGAAACACTCTTCCTTACTTAGTCTTCAAACCCCTCTGATGCCTGAAATCCCACTATTAATGCATACCCCACAGTGTTAGGCGCAGTCCTCATTAGCAGTGTTTTGGAGAGTGATGTGCTTTGGAGTGTGACAATGCTACCTTAAGCAACACCAACAGTCAGGAAGTGTGGCACACTCAAGGGTCACGTTTTCCACACTTCACATTTTTTTCTGTGCCTCTAATCTGGCACTTAAAACTATTGGGAAAGAATGGAACCAGCCGAAAGTCTGTGCAATATTTCCCACTGACAAGACATAGGAAAAAGCAACAATGGCAAATATGAGGAAAATCGTTCTCAGACTCTCTCTTGGAGCGGGAGTATGATTGGCGAGACCAAGAGCACAGAGCAAGTGACTGCAAACTTGACACATAAACTCGAATTTCTGAATCTGAGGTTGAGAATTAAAGAGTTTGGGTTCCAGCCACTTTGTGGCCTTCCTGAACTATGAGCCTTTGTGATGACTAAGTGAAGTGAGGGTGGGGTAATGTCAAAGTTAGAAGTTCTATGATGCATTCATACAGTCCCTGGAAGCTATAAGCTGGGGTGTTTTGATCAGGCTATTTGGAAAAGTTTCTAGAGTTTCCTGCTATAGTGGTGGTGTCCATGGAGACAATAGCAAAACAGGATTATCCAGCTAAGGCAAACCTTCTAAAAATCATCTTGAAATTTAGAGTTGTGAAGGGCTGAAATGTCATCTGGTCTACCTCCCCAGCTGCCTTATGAACCCTTTTGCATCTCATAAGCGATTCTCCACTTTCTGTTTGAACACCTTCAGTTGTATGTAATGCACTGAAATGCCCCATTTTGGTAGCAGCCTTTCTAAGTATATTACGTATGCCCCACAGAGAGCTAGAAACGTCCCCTTCAACCTCGTAGCCACGTAGCCTTTTCCTTCTTCTATTAACAGCTATTATTATATGAGTTCTCCCTATTTTTATACAAAGGTGCCATGTTAGATACTATAGGGAGAGATAAAATTGAATAATACAGACTAGAGTTCTGATTTTAAGGACATTTCAGTCTAGAGGGGTTTGGACGTAACACACACACAAACACCTTGGGAGGAATAATCTGGGAAGTTTCAGGGAGGAGACAGTATGTGAACTCAGCCTTCTAAGTGTGGGAATTTGGAAAGAGTTTTCCAACAGTGGCCTAGGAAATAAGCAAAGTGCTATGACGTGGGAAAATAATTCAATAAGATTCAGGTTACTTGCTTACACACCCCATTTCCCAGGAGGCAACAGTGGGGATATTATCATTCAAGGACTTGCTTTGGAAAAGTAGATTATTGTACCCTTTGATTTTCAAAAGATGCAGTTAGTAGTCCTCTTTTTCAACAAATATGGTTTCCTACTAAACCATATTTTCTGTCCCCAGAATAATTTAATGCTGAACAGAGGAAAGGAAGTAAATTAAGTTCCAGAAAGCAACCTTAAAGTATACCCGGTTTGAGAAAAAATAACCAAAGGAGACATTTTTAAA